TCTACTCTACCCGGGCGGTCTAAGACTAAAGTCCCGCTCCCTAACTATTGCACATAATTAAGGACCGCTAAGTATTCAGTAACTAGAGAGAAACAATTTGTTGAACATTTCAATTGCGCGGATGTTGCACCTTTCCGTTGCCACATTCATTTTGAACATTTCCTCGTGGATTCTGATACTGAATGAACCTGTGACTAAGTGTGTGTGTGTGTGGGTGTGCGTCTGGTCTGGTCTGGTCTGGTCGGTCTGTGTATGTGTGTCGGTGTGTCTCTCTGTCTCTGCGTCTGTGTCTGTGCCTGTGCCCGCATGTGGCAAATGCTCACTGGTTGAGGCCACTGGGCAATCAAACCTGCCTGGAATCAGGAAGCCACCTGGAAAGTCGTTGGTGCTCAACGTGAGTTGGCCATTGCTCCAGGAGGCCACTGTGTTCAGAAACGCCAGGATGGGCGACTGGCTGGTCTCTTCCTGAGCCGGGCACTTCCGTGCCCATCCGTGGCTGATGAAAATCAGTCTTGCCGTTTGTCACCTGGACTTGTCTCTAAGCCCGGTTAGGCATTGTCAGAGCAAAAGGGCACAACAGCCTACTACATGAACAAGTCATTCTTGCTCACTTCCTCAGCCCAGCCTGCAACGACCGATGAAGCTCGAAAATGACATCCTTCCTGGTCTCCCATTACATGAGACCCGAGTGCCCCAAAATGCCCAAGATCTGTACATGCTCTCCACCCAGGCACTGAGCATGAACGCACACAACTCATCCGTCCGAACCACCTGTTTAAATTTGAGACACCTCCAGTGGGAGCTTTCAACAAAGACAGTTCCAACCCAACGGCTTTCTTGGAACTCGTAGCTCTCTCAGCCCAAGCTGCCACCAGCACAAACGTCCATGCCCAGGTCTCAGGCACGGTGCAGCCTTGCCACGGAACTCGCAGGTCTCTCGAGCCCGGAGAGGTACCATGTTTGGGTGCAGTCAATAATTCACCAAATCAAAGCAAGGACCAGGTCCACCCCTGGATGAACTTTGAACGACCTCTCTAAGACTTTGCACAGCTAGTTATATACCTCTGATCTTGGATTAAGATAATGATCACGCAGTAAAGGTATGCATAGTCTATATCTTTATAGAAAGAAGGGAAAACCTACACACGTGCAGACAGGGGATGTGCACCTCTGCTTTATTTTCCAGCCATCCTTGGGAGCTTGAACCTCCAAATAAGGAACGCAAGGACACCAAACCAAATGCGGTGGGGAATTCGCAGCCAGATGCAAACCAAGCCAATCAACACTTAATACCTCTTGCGTTTGTTGAATGTTATCGGGGAGGCGGGATAGAACTTGCCTCAAACGCTATGTCGTCCCTCTGTCACCAATGCCGCACAATCTTCTCAGCCACACCTAACCCTTCCACTCTTCATCAACTACGGAAATACATGAATCCTTCATGCCAGGAACTCTCAGGCTCTTTGACCTGCGCAAGCTAAGTGTTGCGTCTGTTCTTGGAGTTTTGTGCTTTGGGCACCTTCCAATTTAGGAAGTGCGCCCAGGGTCCCGGGTCGCCGCCTGCGCTGCCCTGCACGCTGGCCGTCGCCGGCCCCAGGTGTCCACCAGTCTGAGTGGACACTGCCTGCAGGTGCTGCCGTAGAGCTCGTGACACGCTGGTGGAGTCCCCTAAACATGTTCCAAGCAGAAATCAACCACTCGACTCTACACAAATCTCCTGTACAAAATCGGATGTTCATGGAGCATATCAATTAGAAGCACGACAAAGGTTCAGCTGCAGGTTTGTAGTATTAATATCCAGACCGCTCCCCTACTCCCACCCCAAAAAAGCACAGAAAACACCCTCTCTGGCACTGCCCCGGCGCTTGCCCGACGGCGCCGAAGCGCGAGAAAGCGGGCCTCGTCACTGGCCCAGGGCACAGTGATGCTCACCGGTGGCAATGCTCCATTGGCGATCTCGATGGGCCATACAGAGACTGCACCCTGCCCGGCGTGGCGTGGAGGCCAGGCATCGCGGGTTCCACGCCAGGCCGCGGGCCAAGTTGGAGGATCAGTCTTTGTTGGGATTGACGATGAGCTGTAGAAATTGACGATCCAACAGCCTTGAGGTATATCGTTCCAAACTCAGATAGGCCGCGGCCTCCTCAAAAGCAAGTCGAACGCTCAAAGCCAACGCGCTTTCATCTATACTATAGTGTCATAGACCATCTGTTCGTCCTTACCTCCCTGCTCTATTCCCACCAAGATTTACAGGTTCAAGGCTTGGACGAGTACAGTTCTCTTCATGGGAAGAAGAACTTCCCACGGTGCCGGATGAAGAGCAAAACTCCTCCATAGATGGGGCACTGGGATGTAAAACCCACAACGACATCACGGGGAGACTGTCTTTCTTGGCCCCTTGACAGGACCTGCTCCGGTGTTTGAAACATGGTAGGCTCAGATCGGATGTGTGATGTTTCATCCTGCCAATCCCATCCCTATAAACCCGGACCGTTCGGACCAGTGCGTCCCGGCTCGGGACCGACCTTTCACGCAACCCGTTTCGGCCGGGCCTCGGTCTCACCGCTGCGGCGGGCCAAGACCTCGGGTCGGACGGGGTCTCTTCGGGGGTCGCCGCCCAAAAAGGAGCGGCCGGGGGGTGGGTTCTCCTTGAAAACGGGCCAGTTGGCGATCGTCAGAAAAAGAGTCCCTCAGACTTGCAAAAGGCATCCCGCCAGGAAACAGAGCCTCGCGACGAGTGGCGAGGGTGAGATCGGAGGCCCCGACTGGTATCTGGTTGGCTGGGAGTCCAGCATGTCCGATCTCTTTTTGCTCCACCCCATCAAGTTCACAAATGGTGGGGCGTGGGTTTTTGCTGTTTTTGTCAGCTTGGCAACACCAAGGGTCATGGATCTTAGAGCAATGGCCTTCCAAAAGGTGGGATTTTGAACTGAAAGCCCTCAACAACACACAGAAACCTGACCCTTCCTTACAAAGAAGCGATTTTGCTGCCAGCATCGCTTGCAATCGGAACTTGCGTATGTGTATGCACATGTATAAAAGGAATATCAACATATATATATATATATAACAATCAGAACAGTGGCCCTGCACCTGCTGCGGGCCTCTTCAGCACCGTCCCACCCAAACGAACTTGTGAAGCCTCGGTCGGAACGACTTCCCAGGAACGCTGAAGTTGTAGAGGCCCTCGATCAGCTGGCCTCCTGGCATCGAGGCCCCGATGGAAGGAGATCTCCGGAAGGGACGCCCCCCAGAAGAATGCCGTGGGGAGGCGTTTTGGGATGCTCCAGGCAACCCCCCTGAGGGGGATCGACGGGTGCTCCATCGAATAATGGTCCAAGATTGCAACCCTCAACCCTGAGAACTCCTGCAACATCGGAATCTTAGGCAACTCCTTTGATGTAACATCCCCAAGGCAACCAGGCAATGCAAGGAGGGAAGGAGGGCAAATGGCCGCATGTGCCTCTCGCCCTGCTTCATACCCAAAGGGGATATGGAAGTTGTATGATGTTCACCCTCTGTGAGGTTGTTCGTGCAACTCCCAACCGTTTAAATCCAAAATGGCCATCTCCACCTACTTGGGTGCATAGGGCCCAACGAACTCCCACCAGGATTGGCTTGGAAGGGGGAAACCTCAAGTAACAGTTGAATCTATTCTATGGCCTCACCTGGCCTCTACAAGTTTGTACTACAGTAGAAGTCTTGCAGGAGCCCCTCTTTGATCTTCAGGCTTCCATGCACTGCACAACAATCCCAACCAAAAAATTATCAACCCATTGGTGGAGTGAAGCATTTCCGTGCACCCACACCTGCCAGTGCATACCGAGAGGGGCATCAGTCAAACCCTGGGTCGAATAGCAACCTCACCGCAACACCCACACCTGCCACCAGCAGCTGTGCACTGGCCAAGTCTGGAGAATTCAGGCCGCAGCTGGCACCACTCGCGGTGACACAGGACCACTCGAAGACCTGGAAGCGAAAGCCCAACTCGGCGAGGCAGGGCGACCGAAAGGAACCAGCGATGGGCATCTTGACGCGCCGCAGGGCCTTCAAGCCCCCCGAGTCAATGGCTGAACGCTTGCCCACTCAAGCGCCGCTAGTTCGGAACGTATGACCAATCCCTTTTCTCTCGTTCTCAGCCGGTGACTTCGAATCCAAGCCCTGACCATCCAACGAAATGAGGTGCCCATTGCTGCGACAGCCCGTTGCTGGGCATCGGGCCAAGCCCGACGTGCTCGGGGGCGGCAGGGAGGGATCGTAGGACTGAGACGCATCGAGGCCTCGGTGGAGTGGAAATCTAACGTATACATCCGATTAAAGATCATTTATATACAGTATATGTATACATCCATCGGAAAACATATATATATATATATAGTTATTATAGTTATTAAAACTGTATGTGTATATATGTATAGCCTTGTTTACAAGTGGTTTAATAGTCATAGTCATAGTCTTTATGTGTCTTTATACCGAACGACCCTGCTTTTCCTGAGGCAGCTTAGACCTATACTAACCTTCAGCTCAAACCTGTCTCTAATATCTTTGAGTGGTCGAACGGAAGGCTAGCGGCTAGGGTAGAATCCGAAAACAGGCCGACACCTGGTCACGACATCGATCACGCCTGGGGAATCTGTTCAGATGGAAGGGTAAATTTGCCAAGGGTAAGCCGGGCAAGCAATCTGGAGCCGGGCAAAAAATCTGGAGCTGCCCCCCACTGGACTCATCTTCAGTTCCCTGAGCATCCAAGTGTTTGAAGAGCCACTGAGGCCGGACCCATTGCCCCCCCTGTTTCGGGGCGCTAAAGGCCAGTGGCCAACATCGAAGGACTTGGCATCGAAAAGGGCCGACCCCTAAAAACATCTAAAAATCATTGGGGAAAGCTCCGATTTCTAGTGATGTAACATACGTACAAAAAAATATATATATATACACACACAGTTTTATTTGGGTTTATTGATTATAGTGCGCATCTCAACATGCATTAAACTAGATTATCTGAATCATAGTTCCGTAACCAGACTGGATGGTGCCCCAAACCCGGAAACCGGACTCCTTGGACCCGTCCAGGCCACTGAAGCTACAAGCGCCTGCCACCGTGTGCGGTCCCACGACTCGCACCACGGGCGCCGCCGGCGGCAACACCGTCAGGCTGAAGACGTATTGCCGCTGAGCAGCCTCAGGCCAAGCGATGATCGAAGCTCGGCACCTCGCGCCTTGAAAAAGAAGGCCTTCCAACTAACCCCCGAAGCCAATCCCAATTGGCATTCTTCTTCCCTTACCCCCGCGGCTGGGCACCCCTGCGCTGCTCGCGCCCTGGTACTGCGCCGTGACCCGGAACTCGTGCGCGGAGCCCGGGGCGAACACGAAGCCATCGAAGCGTACAGCCCCGGGACGCCGATCCAGGTCGGTCCTGAGCAGTCCGCGGGTCGTCGGTGCACCCGGTTGAGGTGGTTCCAGGCAGCCCACCTCCCACCTGACAAACATCACTGACCTTGTGTCATCCGATGTTCATTTCTTCTGATCAGCCAGGTCGACTCAAAGACCAAGCTCTTGCGCCCTGCATGCGCCCTGCATGCCACTCAGGCTTGAACCCCCTCATGTTGTGCCTGGCCGAGCTGCAACCCCGCCGCGGCGAGATCCTGCCAGGTGCCGCCCGTGGCTCGATACTCCCAGGCCACGTCGATGGGGCGAACCGAGGAGCTGCTGCCGGAGCAGCTGGAAGTGTCCACCTCAACGCCAGCCGTGGGGGTCGGCGAGGCGAGAGGGGACGTGATCGACCGGAGGAACCGGTCTCTGGGTTGATCTAGCGGATAGTGTCTCTTTCTTCCACCCAACAGCATGACCTTTTTGTCAGGTCCGTGAAAAAAGGAGGGCACCTGTTCAACCCCACGCTTCGGTTCCCAGGCACCACCGACAACATCTGAAAAGGCTCCAACCAAGAGCCACCACCCTTTTCCTCCCCCACGCCAGGCTGCGTAGGAGGTTTGCACCGAGAAGGCCACAGGCTCACCTGGGAGGACGTTGGGGGCTCGAAAGAGGTGGGTTTCTTGGGGGGGCGGAAGTGGTTTTGGCTTGAAGATGGCCCAGATCGCCCTGTGAGGAAGATCAACACCAGAAAGGGCAAATGAGGCAAATGCATGCAAATGCTTACTGAAATTACTGAAACCCCACGGCTGCCTGTTTTATCCTTTTTTGATATGCAGGTGGATTGAGCTGGCTAGCTACCTCCGCCACCGCTTGAAAGCCCCGCAAAACAGCATTGGCCAACCTTTGCAGTCTCCTTTCCTCTGCTGCGCTTTGATTCGGAGAGGAAGTCCACTATAGTTTCCCGCACCGGATGGGGCAACCGCTTGCTCTCAACAACGCCTTTGTTTGCTTTCCTGAGGCATTCTTCTATGTCCTCAGGCATCATCATGATCCTGCTCAGTATTCTTCGAAGGTCCTCCTGCCATTGCTCATTACACGTGGCTTGCATCAACTCCTTCGAACAAAAATCCTCAACAAGAAGTGCCCTTGCATGGACCAGTCTGGCTTTCCTGGCATTTGCTAGCACAAAAACAGTTGGACCACCTGTCTTTTCTTTGACAATGGCTGCCACTCCAGAACTCAGCAAGTTACCTCTATTTCCATTTTGGTATTGTATTGTGTCATCGGGGTCGCACTCCTCCTGGCCGAAAAACCACACTTCCTGATCTAGGCCGTTCGCATCTTTGTACTTGCATCGATTCCCATAATTGAATGAATCATGGCCCAGGCCCAGCAACTCATAGTTCATGTTGCTCAGAAGTGCCCGAAAGGTTGCCAAGGCGTTTCTCGAACACATGGTGGAGCAAATGCCCCACTGCAGTCGACCTTGCTGCTGCTCACTCTGCAAGAACTTGATAAGCTTCTCGGCACCAGGCCTGACGTGCAGCCACGATGGGATGCCGTTGAAACCAGCGTCCTTCTTGACTGCATTTGAACCTGCTCCGACCAAAAGGTGCCTCTAAGGGCACACAGTGTGCCAACATCGAAGGGTGGGGATCGTGGCATACACCTGCACCCAAATAGAATCTCTGCGACAACGGGCAATCAAGACACTGCCCATCTCTGGGCTCACAACCCAACACGCCATTCAGGTCCAAAAGCACTGTCAATGACTGCGGCTCCCGGGTAAGGGGTTGCCTCAGTTCAAGGGTTCTCCGACCGGGTGTGAAGCTAAGACAGTCTAGGCAAATTGGCGGCCCATCCCTGCCCTGGGCGCAATCTTTGCAGAAGATGTCACAGCATACCATGTACATGTCCTCCCACACTTGGTGCCCACCACAGCCTGCGCACTCCTCCGTATGAAGATCTCATGGGATCTTCTTGGAACTAGCCATCGTGTGTGCCTTAGCCGTGTCCTCCCTCTGATGCTGTTCCAGAAGAATTATCGTGTGTGCCTTAGCCGTGTCCTCTGATGCTGTTCCAAATTCTTCTCAGTCAGCTCCTGCCCGATCATCTCAATGGCAGCCCGTGAACGATCCGCACCCAAGCGCACAGCTCGATGAACGGCTGGTTCATCCTGCTCGCGAATGGCCGCTGCCAAAAAATCGTCCAACGGCATGGCAAAGGACTGTGGCTCACGTGCAGGATGGTCAAATCATGTTTGTATCTGTGTCTGCCAGCTCTCCTGGCACTTTCGGTTGACAATGCGCTGCGGGCTTTGGTGTGGCTTTGTCTTCAACAGGTGGGGGGGGGCAGCTGAACAGATCTTGAGCTTAAATGGTTGGAGTTGTCGTGGGCTTTGAACCTGCGGTGAGTTCTGCTGCGTTCCCTTCACCGACTGATCCCAAAATCTAAACTACCGTCTTGCACAGGCCGCAGCTCCAAAGTTTGGAGCTGTTTGGTCTCTGCGAGGATTCGTCTCCATAGACTTCATAGAGCGTCCTCCAGAGTGCTAGTGCTCTTCCTCGTTTACGCTGTTTCGGTTCACCCTAACTGGTGCTCTCTCTCTCTCTATACTAGTTGGAGTCTAGTGGCCTGGAAAGCCTCCAAAAACATGTACCTGACCCGACCCCGACATCGACATGTCTACATGATAGAATCTAGTAATGTTCTGGGTGCGACCTTCTTCCACAGGATTCCTACCAAACCAGAAAGGATCCACAATTTTTTTCTGGTTGGTATGTCATGTCCCATGGCCCGCCCCTCACGCAGGCGAACCGTCACACGCAACCGCTCTTCCACCCGGTGGCTGTTGAGGATGCTGGTGGCCACAGCACTGGTGGGCGTGACCAAGGGCATCGGCTCCTCCACAGTCTCCAGTGCCACCACAGCGGTGGCCTCAACAGGATGGAGTCCACCCCTGCCAGACCAAAGGAGTGGCTTAACGAAAGGTAGCCATCATGCATGTATCATGGGAGACGCAACCAATCATCCGCTCTTCAGCTACCCTTTTGCGACAATACCAACCCTAAACTGGGCATGTCACAACCGAAGACGTGGACGCCGCATGTCATAAGGGGGTCGATTGGTCGATCTGTGTTTCCTCTGGAAGAGGGGCGAAGAACTGGGGACGACCTCCCGGACTTCCAATACAAACCCGCTCCTGTGACCCAACTGAAAAACCCATCCGGTTCCCGGGTTGGACCCACATCCAGCAGGGGTTGGATGTAACCATGGGCTACCACCGCGAAAGCGAATGGCTTGAAGGAGGACTTGAGGAGGGTGAATCTACTGGAACATATTGGCCTCTCTTGACTGAGATCTGCTTATTTTGCTGATGATTGCCTACACATCTGGGGGTCACGACATACCAGGTATATATATATATATATATGTGTTCTTTTCGAGCAAATGTTCTTCTATAGGAGCTGATGATCCGTTCTTCAGTTGCTCTCCCCTTCTTCACGATGGTCGCAGTTCCACGAATCCGACAGCAAACAAACAAACAAACAGATCACCTGCCAAGCAGCCTGGTCCGACAAACCCAACCAGTTGGTCAGAGACACTTCCAGCTCGAGCCTTGACAGCGGAAACAAGGCCCTGTAGTAGGAGGGCAGGGTGCCCTACTACCCACCCCCACTAACCTTCCAGCAGATGAGGGCTTAGGGCACAAAATGGCTGGTTTATGGCAGTGGGCCTGGCAGCGATGAAGATGCAAACCAACCCGTAACCCACCCATTGTGAATGATGATTTGCAGGGACAGTCCTAGCTCACAAATAGTGAGTGGTGGGAATGGGGCAGTCCTAGCGAACAGCAGCTCCCCATGAAGGGTTCATGGCCAGTGGCACTTGGTTGAAGCTATCATCTTTTCTACGAGCGCCTTTAAAACCGCAGATCTACCTCCTGCAAAACCGAAAAGCCTGAATAATCTGAATAGAAGAGGGTATATTATGTCCTTTTGTGTGTGTGTGTTTGTTTTTGCGGCTGCACTCCAAATATCCACGTCCCCCCCTTCCTCTTCCTCGCAACTTCTCGCCAAATCCTCTCCAAGGCGCTGGATGGGCGTGGTGTAGAAGTTGTTCCCCATCCGTTGCTTCACAGCCTCCACCGCTGTGAAGAGCTCCAGCTGTGAGATCTGCAGCGAAAGCCTCCGAACCAGCTTCGGCGGCTTCGGCGGCTTCGGCACATCGGGAGCGGGATCCGAACGAATGGACATGGTTTGCAGAACGTGCCTTCGATTCATGGGTGAACGTGATTGAAGCTCTCAGCAAAAGGAGGAAGTTTGCGTCTTCAGGTGCATGTCAGTCTATGGCTGCACACCGTTCCAGGAATGCAGGCAAACAAATCGTTCTAATGGCGTCTGTGGAAGGGCGATCGAAACCCAGCAACAACTCTTACAATAAAAATTGTTCGGATCGCCTTGGATAATGACAAGGTAACAAACACAGCACCTCGCAAACTTTTGGAGTTGTTCTGGAGAAGTGCACACCTTCATGAATGCCCTTCGCTTCGGAAGAAGAGAGCCTTTCCAAAATTCCAGGGAGCGAAAGGAACATGTCTAAAATCTGAATGTACCAAGGAAAATGGCCTTCCAGCAGTCCATGTTTCCACCAGCCTGAGGGGCAAGGAAGGCAAAACAAACATTCCCGGCTGCCAACACAGACGTCAGCCAAGACACTCACTGCCAGAGTTCACCTTGGCCTGCAGCACCCCACCGCCCATACCGGAAGAGGTTCCAAGTTTGTGCCAATGTGTCGGATCATACCCCGGCCGCCATTCTTTTTCGGTCAACCTTCTTAGGCCCTACAATTCTCTACATGTAGCCACTTTTGGAGTCATGGAGGTAGAAACACTGCATCTCCCGCGCGCCAAGTACATAACTTCGCCGAACTGCGCGCGTGTCCTGAATCTCACACCCTTCACCTTAAATCCGCCGACTCCAGGAGCGCTGAAAATCCGCCCATCCACCCCTTCCATTCTTGTTCTCCATCCGAAGAGAGACAGAATAAAAGAAATAGAAAATATACAATGAATTCAAATAAACATTGTATTATTCGTGGATATGAATTACTTATTGATGTTCCTAATAGAAAAAGAACAGAATATGAATGCAAAATCCCGTGGTAATTCCCAAATAGTAAAATACATAAATGGACATCGTAGAAGCAAAGAAAGTGAATCAATTTTATCAGGGATTATTTGTTTTTTTTGCATCCTATTCTCCATCTGTTATATTATTGTTCTTTGTGTGCAGTACAGTAACTCTCTTCTTAATCGAGATATAGTGTTGATTCAATGTACGAATTGTTCATCAACTAAAAGAACTGACAACTATCTACATCTGAAAAAGAAAAACAAAGGACCACCCCAACCTGCCCCAACCTGCCCGCACCGACTCACTTACCCAACACGCCACACTCCGCACAACAGCGCCTGCAGCTCGGTGGCCAGCTCCGCCGTGGTGCCGGCGCCCAGCGCCCAGCGGCTCACGAAGGGCCGCGCAGCGGCGCCCGCGGACGTCGCCGCCGAGGCCTCGAGGTGCGGCGGCGGCTCGACGGCGGCCGGAGCCGGAGTGGAGCGGAGTGTCCGATGGGAATCCATGGGAAGAATGGGGGTTTGGAGGTGAGGATGGTGATGTTAGCTTTTCGGGATTGGACAAGTGTTGTAGCAGAGGTGAACTTGAATCGATCAAGGTGGAGGTTCCGGAGAAGGTATTGATGTGCTTTGCGAGTTCCTGCTTCATCACATAGGGTTTGTGGCATAGTCATACATGGTCGTTGAATCTTCCTCTGAAGCAGTGAGTCAGTGGACATGCACTCATTCTAGGGGGTGCTCTCACAGGGGTCCATTGATGTTATTTGATGTTTGGATCCTGGCCCCGGAGTTTGGGAGGCTCGCTTAGTTGAAGGGGGTGTCTAGGATGTCTGGGACCCACTGTGGCCGAAGGGTGGAGGAGGCAATGCCAGATATTTTTCAAGTGGCCTTATAAGTGTCAAGGCTTCATTCCATTCCAGCAACTTTAAACAGCCGTGCTTATCCTGTGAGGCTCTCCATAAACTGGGGTGACTCCTCTTTAGCCACGCTGCAGTTGTTTGGTGGTTGTGTGCAGCGTCTCCTTACAGGAACTGGCTGATTGGAAGGAGTTCACCTGTCACACCTTCCCACCGCCTCAGAGTGTTCACGAAGCTTCCAGGGGGAAAACCGAGTGCACGCGCCGCGTTCGCCGCGTTCAACCAAGCCGCCGAGATCTCCGAACACGCCTGCACCGACAAGGGCGACACCAACAGGGCCTGGGTCGGCACCGGGACGCGCGGGACCGGAAAGAGAAGCTGTTTCTATTTAATTCTTGTTTCTAATAGCTTCTTGTTCCTAGTAGTAAGGCACTTGTTACTAGTAGCGATGCACTTGTTCCTAGTAGCTAAAGGACTCGTGCAAAAGCCTCACTCGACCGGCACACCTCCCTCAATCTTCCCGGACATCTCGATGTGTTTCGGCCATCTAGAGTTGATTCGTGTGTGTGTGTGCATACACTGCCATAGGTGACGTTCCAAGTATGCAAAAAGTGTCTGCCTTTTGGCTGGTTATATCATTATATATATAGATGAAAATGCAAAAGCGTTGCAGAGTCGATGATCTAGGCTTTTTTCGCACTCCACACACACCCCACCGTCTAACCCCCCCAGGCATGCTCTCCACCAAGCTGCCGCTTGGGGCTGCGCTGGTGGGTCGTTGCTGAAGACGGCCGCGCGGAGCGAGGGGGTCGGCGCCACCGGGCGCACCACCACGAAGGCGTTCGTGGTGAGCGCTCCGTCGATGGTCTCCACCGTGTCACCTAGAACCACCGTGAAGGGTCACCGGGCTCCGGTGGCGGGGGTCCGGAGGTGTTCAACTTCTTTAGCATCATGGACCATTTTGGTGAAAGCCTGAAAACCCGACGGCCTTCAGGGAAGATATGCCCAGCGCCAGCTGGGAGGTAATGAATCTCAGGCCCACAGGAGCCAAGCAAAAAAGCCACCAAGAAACAGAAAACAGATGCGCATCAATCCCCCAAAAGGGCTTGCCCGAATCCACTCCTCAGCATCTCCTTCCTCACACTCCAAGTGTTCCGCCTCTTTGGCTCCAAGTGCCCGAGTGGCTGAAGGTCAAGGTGGGGCTGGTGCCCAGCTTCACTTCCAGATTCCGCCCATCGGCCACCCAGCGGCAGGTCGGTTCCAGGCCCAGCCTCAGGTCGGGTAACCCGGGGTGGTGCCGAGCCATTCGGCATGGCCGGAGGACCACGCGAGTTGCTTGAGTCATGACGTGGTCAGGTTCCTAACCTGGTAACTCCAGCAAGGCCCACCCTGCCAAGCAGGACCCCCACCACGCGGCCCCCAAGTAGTCGCTCTCCACGGGCCATCCCATGAATGAAAGAACCGGGTCCAGTTCCAAGAAGGCACCATCACACACACCCGCTCACTTTATCATCACTCACCCTCACCCACTCGCCACATCAAGCGGCAAGGCCAGCGTGGCCGCCGTGAAGACCTCGCCACAGTTCACCTCCGCCGGCGGGAGCACCTGCTCTCCCGCCTGCAGCCGCCGCGCGTAGCTCGTGAGCATCGCCCGCTCGTTGAAGGTGAGCAGGAGCCTCGGGGATCATCGGCGCACGGTGGGACAGCCTGTTGGGTGGGAAGGAACATGAAGGAACCAACCTTCCATTGAGTTTAACTGATAGGTATATGATGTAGTAGTTGACCACATGCACCCTCAGAACCACAGGTGCAATGGAAGTGCTCTTGAAGGGGTTAATCAGCCTATTGCATCACTTCTCATATCAGTGGTGTTGATGTCACCCCCTCTGAGAACAGTGGCAGCAACTCAAACCTTTCCCTTCCCAAAATCTCTATTTCACGTCAACCACCCCCACCACTGCCACTCCTCTTTCCCAATTTCAATCCAAGCTCCAAAAACTGCCATTGGCAATGAGATGTGTTTCATTGGTAAGAGCATGTAGCCCAAAACGAGGATCTCCCACCGCCCTCGAGGATCTCACCTCTTCATCCCCACACGTCTAAGCCACGTGGAGTATCCCTGCGTCAACTCCGCGGACTCCAACAGCAGCGGAAAGAGCCTCCGCAGACGCACAAATCGGGCACCCCACCGTGGTGTGGAAGGGCTTTCAGGGGCGGGAGTCGTGTCAGCAAGGTGTGTGTCTGTGTCTGTGTCTGTGTGGTGTATATGTGGTCCCTGACGATCTACTTTCTTCGAGGTTTCACCTCCAAAGGCATCTGAAAGGCTGAAGTTTGGAGCTCAACACCGGGACCCACCTTGAAAACGGGCAATGATGGAAATGGAACGACAATATCTGTATGAGCATGCCCTACCTAAATGGAACTTGGACAGTCTGTATGAGTCGCCCGGTTCTCCTTCCAGAACCCCTCCCAGGGCGACCGCCGAACGGGCTCTACTGGGCTGCCCTGCGTGGTGCTGGTGGAGCTGCTGGTGGAGCTGCTCGAAGTGGTGGAGCTGGACGTGGTGACCTCAAAACGCCACCGTCTTCGACGGCTCGACAGGGATCCGAGCGCCATCCGAGCGCCCCGTTGGGCCGGATGAGTTATGCCAGCGAAGTGCTGTGGTATGCCTGTCCACATCACGAGCTCTTTGCTCAGCCACTTAGGAATTCAGCGATGGCCAAGGCAACTCACCATGAGCAATTGAGTGCATCTGATCATTGATTCCCATCTGCTTTCCACACATCCATCTCCAAGGCACCCTCCAACTCTACAAACCCATACCACCAGCATTTTTGCAGCATACTCCACCTCTTCTTCGCACCCACCGAGGCGCCGTGGTGGTGGATGAGGTGGTGAAGGTCGTGGTGCTGGAGATGAGTGAGATCGACACCTCGCACTGAGCGGGAGGTCCAAGGTGACGGGGCCGGACCGAGGTCTATCACTCTATGCCACCGTCCATGCCCTGGAGGGAGTAGGAAGGGTAGGAAAGGGAATGGAGCGGAATGGTGCGAAGCAAAGCCTGCTGAAAGAATGTTGGATCATTTCACTAGAACTTTAGCACAAACATCCCGGCGGAATTATTACCGCCCCACGATTTTTGTCTTTTTCTCTGTTTCGCTGCAGCGACTGCTGATTTTTGAGAAAGAAAAAAGGGTTCAAAAAAATGTCGGTTTTTTTTGCGTTGTGCAACCCTTACAGCATTTTCTTGGCAAAAAGGGGTCCCCATCGGCACGTTCGTTTTTTGAATTTTGACCACATTTTGGAAAAAAGTTTATGCTTTGTCACGTTTCCACAGATGAACCTATTTGAAAAAAGAGTCCTCCGGGCCATTCAGACCGTTGATGAAACATGATTCATGGACAGGATCAGTAAAATGAAGGTCTTTGACCTGTAGGGAAATGAACATGCAGCATGACATCTAACTTACCTTAGGTTAGTAGTAGTAGTGGTGGTAGTAGTAGTAATTAATAGATAGTATTTTGTAGTTAGTGCCTAGCATTGAGTAGTGGTTAGCAGTTGTAGTTCGATATGAATATATCCTGACGAGTTTTAAACACGCAAGCGCGCAAGCAAACAAATATGCGCAACACAGCATGCGTACTAGTATTGTGTAGCAACGTAGAAGGGTTTCTTATTTATGAGTGGGCAAACCGAACCTTGACATGCCATCCGAACAAAAGATATGAATAAATCCAGACGGGTTTTAAACAAGCAAACGCAAGCTAGCCAAAATGCGCAACCAAGCACGCGTACTCGTATTGTGTAGCCACGTAGAAGGGTTTCTTCTGTATGAATGTGTAATTTGAACCGAACGTTAACATCCCACCCCACCCCACCCTTCCCCACCCCAACCCCCACCCCACTCTCAGTCTCTCAGCCGCTCGCATTGTGTGGCAACGTAGAAGGGTTTCATCTGTATGAATGTGTAATTAATTTGAACCGAACGTTAACATCCCACCCCACCCCACCCTTCC